CTAACCATACAGTTCGTGGCGAAACCTAATCCAAAGAACCACGAAATAGATGTTCCAACCTCAACTTCTACCAGTCCATCGGAATGGAGGAGAAACAAAACATTGAAGAGTCCCACACATTAAATAGAAGTTGTACTGATTTGCAAAACGCGAGCCAATTTTAGCTCATGCTTGTTCATAGGCATACTTTCGTTAATTCCAGCATCTACTCTATTCTACCGGTTCGTACGGAGCTCCGATCCAAGAGACAATCAACTAATGCCTAGAATTTCTGTCTTCATCAGTCTAGTCAGACGAAGGCTACATGAAATGTTGATGACTGACACCATTTAAACATGATGTTTGGAAGCTAAAATCCAAAATATTTTCCTTCTTCAACCGCTGAGTGTAAAAATCTTACTGACTTGGTCTGTTCTCATGAAAGACATGCGGAGAAGTTTAATTCTCATGGCCCCTTTAATGCCCATGACGGCCTTTGCTGAAGCAAAGCTGTTGACACATGAGGCAGCGCAATAGAGGATATAATTGCTTTTTGCCATTTAAAACAAGTCCATCTTTGGATAAAAGGAGAATTACATTCAACGGTTCGTTTTTTATACGTAAGTAAGTGGAAACAAATTTTGCCTGTGCTTTTTGAACAAAAGTCGAAGTTTGTATTTTTCATCATTACCAGTATATAAAACGAAAACCAGTACCGAAAACCGCCTAATTTTACGTATCCTTAAAATATATTATTACAGACATGTTTTTTGACATGAATCGTGAAATGCATACTTTGCATGTATGAACTGGCTCATCATCTCCAAACCCTCCTTTAAAATGGTTATTGTTGTGCTCTAAATGAAAGCCCCCCCCCCATAACCGTAATTATACAGCGGCAGATCCTGGTTATGGAGGAAAGTGGCGCAAAATTGTTTGGCAAGCACTGAAGTTAGGAAAGTATGCGCTTAAAATGCCTACTGAAAAAAGTGTAGGATATTTTGATACCTGCCATGGTACGCTTTGCTTACATAGACCGTTTTACTGCAATGTACCTTATGCAGCTGAAGAAAAAACGAAATGACAGCACAGAGACTATTGCGAACAATGGAAGAGTTAATACATTTAACTAATTTGGCATTTACGCCGCTCGCACATCAAGAGGAGATGTTCGGAACGATAATAATGTTACGTATAAATTAGTTAGCCAAAAATTAATATCGATTTTCCCAGAAGATAAGAAGTTATTATAGCAATCTGTATTAGCGAACAGTGTCTGAAATCGATATTTATATTATACGACCATGCTTCTGATTCGATAGCCATGATATTGAGAAAAGATGTTAAGCACAATCGTTGTCATCTATATTGCGTTCTCATTAATGTAGCAACATTTTTAACCGCGGACAAACCAACGGACTGAAGATATTGACCTAATTTGCCACTTTTTTGAACTAATCGGTTGTCTGTTCATCGCAGCTACAGTTTTGCTAATCAATCAGTAACTGGAGAAGACTATTCATCATCCTGACTTGCAGCAGCCCTGAGCCATGCAAATAACAAAGTACTCTATAAGTCTTAGATTTTGGGTACTTCGTTCAACCAGAGTACAGGTGACGAAGCAAAAGGTTAAAATTGACAAACAATTAAAACACAAACGGTTGGTGATATACCGCATTTCAGGACAATATGACCGGAGTTATATGACAGAAACATTCAGGACAAACCAGTGCCTTTTCTTATCAGTGTGCGTAGTTCAGTATAAATTGATCGACAGGTTTTGGAGCAACGTTTTCCAGTGACGGCAGGCTGGAAGAAGAGATTGAAAGACAGATCAGGTGAACGACACCGTGTGGGAACTAAACTGGCCTGCGGTAAGGCGAAGGTGTGAGTCTTCAAGAAGGCATGCGCAACTATCCTCAACTGTGGCCGTGAGTGTTGGATACTAGCTGAAAGAATGCTATCCCAGCGAAAAAGATTTGTTCGAGTAGCTTAAGAACGTGTCACTCTAAGGTGCCCTCACTTATGAACATTTACTCTCCACGTATCACAATGGCAATCGATCAGAATGCCAGAGGAGACACTGGTAGGAAAAATTCTCTGGAAAAAGCTATGTAAATCACGGCCAAGAAGAATACCGGAAACGAAACAACTCGATTATATTGAGGAAGTGCATTATCGCGCTTTTGAGACTAGCCAATTATGTTCATCCTGAAATGGAAAGGCACCACTGAAAACTTTTTATGCGCAGCTGTGTCTGCCACCCAAAAGAATAAAGTGCTTTGAAAATGAATGGAGGAAATGAATGGGTTCATGAATAAATGAAAGAATGAATGAACGGAGGAAGTATGGAAGGAATGAATGATAAAAGCCGTGAATTACTGTCCAATTGATTATGTTTAAAGTGAAAACGAGTCATAATTTTCGAAATACTGTTTTAAGCCAGATATTAATTACGGAAGTGTGATCGAAAGCCCAACGAAATTTCCGTGCTAAAATTATCACATATTTCTTTCGCAATCGACTCATTTTTTAGATGTCAGAAATAGCATTTACCTCACGTCTAGTGTAAAAAATATTGAGTTCGTAAGCTGACCGCCTTTATGACATATTTCTATGTTTGTCTACTGATAACGCCGGCTAGTTGAGAAACAGATTCAGAGATAACTTAGAAGAAAATGTATTAACACAAGGATGATCTGTACCCGCAACTTGTACTATTTCAGTCAAGCTCAACCACCATTGCAATGTCATGACATTGGTCAACATATGATTCAACCCGTCGAATATCACGCTAAACGAGTTCAACCTTATTCTTGCTTCAGGTAGCAGGTGATGCCCTTCATTTTCACAAAATGACTGTTGTGTTAATTTTTAATAATGATCCTTGATTTCACTGCTGACTCTCAAAGAACTTTTCGTTACAAAGGAGGTCACGCTTCCTATGATTCATTAATTGCCCTACCGTCCCCTGTCATCTCCGTAAGAGTCATTCCACTGAATCACCCGAACATATCTGGTGCTAAGAGTTACATTTGTCAAAATACACGACTCAATGTCTTATCATAGTGCCCATGTACAGTCAGTCGAAAAGAGTACCTGATAAATTGACCAACAGTTGATTACTGTAATAACAGCTCGTCAACGTTGTCATGTAGAGTTCATAAAATTTACGCTGATTGAGAAACAGCGTAAAATACCATTTATTAATGAACAACTCAAAAAATACTATGGTCAATCAGATGATTGATGATTACTACCGCTTCTACCCGTGTCTCACGAGACTTCTTCAAAGTAGGAGTTGGCAAAGTTTCAGAAAACTTTCTTGCTGATTGCAGCGGTTGGTGGGTTTTCAGCCAAAGCCATTTGGCAACGCAAAAACTAGATACTCCATCTATGCCGTTTCACATGGTTTTGTTCTCTTATACTCACAGTGCTGACTGACTGCGAGATCGACCAAATGGCGATTGCTTGCCTGTCTGCTTGACTGGTTGACCGAATACGTAATTAGAATGACAAATGACACTCGTAAGGTACATTTTATTGGCAGGGTAACGTGGCAAGTGGCCAACAGGTAAGCGCATCGCCTATTGCTTCGAACACATCGAAGGTGCTTGGAATTCTCTCGCGTCGGAATCCAATCCAGAATAAGCCTGGGGCCTTCTGAAACTACTTTCTGATCACCCAGAAAGAAACAGTGGATCTTGAAAATGAGTGAATGGAATTGACTAAAGAAAGCACTCAAACAGTCATCTATAAATGGTAACTTAAACCTATACATCGATCTTTACCTTCCTCAAACAGTTGCATACATAAAACGTTAACGCTTTATCGCTTGGAGCATTTATTGTGAGAACGTGGCTACCTTAAGCTGCTGGACACCATTCGTTTCTGCCTTCGGGAACAGATCATCCCATCAACGTCAATTTTAGCTTAATTGTTGGTCTCTTATTAAAATTGATCGTCCGTCTTTCAGTCTCATTAATGACAGTATCAGGCATTTTTTCTCAGTGCTATCATGGTCTCAACTCTGAATTGGGACAAAGTTCAGCGGGCTTTTGCTGACCCTCTGTAACATCGATTCACAAGCAAATGGAAGATGAAAGCTGACCTTTGCCAGTTGTCTGAAAGTCATGGTTCTGACATTGAAATTCGACAGAAATTGGTGTCATGCCGTGTCATCTTTTTCAGCACGCCCAAGTACTTGCATTAAAAGGGAGGTTATTGTAGCGTACGTCATCGACCGACATTACCGCGGTTTAAAATAGCTAATAAAGAAACGGGAACGAAGAATAAAATTTTAATGTGACCGTCACTCTTCTAATACGGGCATTAACAGGAACCTTTGTAGATCGATTGAACGATCGAACGTTGCGTTGACGGTGTCGAACGAAGGGCCACCTCGAGCGTAGAAAAACGATTGACTGGTGATGTGAAAGGGAAATCGATTTGCCTCATCTCATCATCACGTAGGGTAATTGCATTTTTTGTGGTGTCGTGGAAGATTTTGCTGCCATTGAAAAAAGTTTGTCAGCTGCGCGTTCTCCTTAGTCTCGAGGTCGCCTGACGAGAACAAAAGTAAGACCCGGTGGAACAGCAGTGGATTTGGTCGCCGTTACCTCCTCCCTCCAAAGAGGAGAATCACCAGTATCACAAACCGTTCATACGAGAACAGAGCTGCAGTGGAGGCGGCTCTCGTCAAACGGTCCGTTGCTCGGTGGTGTTATGAACACTAAACGACGGGGAAAAATCTGTGCCATATTTGGCTGGAGAGGCGAGCGCATAATTCCCCTGATCAGAACCGGCGGTCTCGGTGATTGATTGGAACGGAACGACCATTAAGGAGCAAAGCTGACGGGTGAAGCCAAAAACGGCCCAAATTAAAACGGCACTTCTATCAAGAAAGCGTGTCACGTCGTTCAGACATGAAATCGTCCCTCCGGCTTCCAAGCTTTAGTTGGGTTAACCACCTTGAATAACTCGGCTTTAATCATGACAGAACGAAGAGTGATTGCGGCCGTAATAAGACTGCCGGTGTGGTGCGGCCTCTAAGCGGCGAATCATCGCTCGACCAGCCAAGCCAGTGACTGTCCCAGCCATCCATATTGGACACGTGCTTCCTTTAATACATAGCTTCACTTTCTAGACGAGGACAGATTAAAAATAACTGAGAGATTAATATTACTATTTTGAGGAAACGGGCGATGACCAACGCCGCTTCTGACTTAGCATTGACTTCAATGAATTTGGGATTGCCTTGTATTCTCGTTATTTTTTTTATCACATCTGAAATGAAACACGAGTGGTTTCCTCATCTTTCTAGCCAGAACCCTCTATCAGCGATTACTTTTCTACTTTACTTCTAAATGGTGCCAATGACTCTGCACAACCAAACTTCGAGGTCCCAGGCAGGGTAGGCTGTCAGCGAACATGGGATGCATGAAAAAGCGAAGTTGAATATGGACCTGAAAAAATGGCAGTTATCAAGTACTGTCATAAACCCAGAAAGGTCGAACGAAACTGTGGTAATCAGGTGTCTTTTAAGAATAAAAGTAGGATGCAGAGACTATAAACTAAAGGTTGCCATTTATATGAAGCATCAAAGAAAGAATTTTGTCTAAGAAAGAAATATTTTCGTGATTTCGCTGGTGTTAGTTTAGGGGTTTAAGGGTAATAGACAGAAAAGATGATAGAGAAATACCTGGACAACGAAAACAGGATCTTTCATACCAGCTGAATGATCAAAAGCATTGAGAAACAGCGTGAAAACCTTGTCGAAACATCTATGAGATA